TCTGTGATTTATTGATATTTTAAAATGCTATGTGCAGCAGATTTAAGTACCTCTCAGCAATAACTCCCCAAAAGAGCATCTCTGTTTCCCTCTATTTAATCTCCTCCTTCCTCCCCCTCTTCTCGGTGCCTTCTGCAATGTCTGGGTGTCATTAATCTGACGATAGTGGAGTGGTACCCATTACAGTCGCACACCCTAAATCAATGACTGTTACATGGGGAGGGTGTATGTGAGCAGTTGAATATTCCAGTGATGAATTTGTTATGTTCTTTTTTCTCCTCTTTACGCCGTCTTTTGATTCCTCAACTTGTGCTGCTGATGATCTAACGCACCAGGAGGGCCTAATGAGTGAATGTGTCTTTGCAAACAAAGCAAGGGGACGCGCAAACATGTATGTGCGTGCACAAAATACACAAATTACAAACACCGTTTGTTTTAAAGACAGAACAGTGTGATAAATCACAACTGTTAGCTGGAAATAAATATTTGCATGTGCTAATTGGACTCATTAATGACAGAGATATGAGTGAGGATGGGGAGAGGAAAGAGGTGAGTGACTACTTAAACATACACCACTGATCAGCTATATAATTGGAGCTTTGTGATGCACATGCACACTCTGCACTGTTTGTGTATTTGTGTCGGGCTGTGGGAGAGGGATGATTAATACCTTTCTTGGACACACAGATGGATATTCATGCATGCACACGCGCACACACACACACACAAAGACTCTTCACTGAACTCCCAACTCCAAAGAGGCTTTCAAGTAAATTGAGTTTGGGTTTAGGGTCCTGTTTGTATTAATGAGCCCACTGCCGCTCGAGTTAGGCCCAGTGCTCTGTGTTATTACCTGCTTGATAATGAATGCCAGCTTGACTAGCAGCCGTCAATGGAGGCGGCCTCACACGGCAGATAGCGCTGCAACTTGCCACCAGCTTAAAAGAATAGATAAGCTGCAATCTGTCACGGCGAGAAAATGATACCAAATGGCAAAGGCAGATAGAAACTGTGGACCATGAAAGACTCGCGCAATTACTGTATGCTATACCTGGATGGAGCAGCTTTTGCAAATAATGGAACGCATTTATTTAAACCTCTCTAGAACAGCAGATTGTTGGCATTTATCACAGGGGACAACACGACAAGTCCTCTGAGGTTCAGACTGTTGGAATAAATTTGGATAATGTTTTATTGCAGTGTGACTAATACCATCACAGGTATGAATCAATCTTTTATTAGAAACTAGCCAAAAGAATCAGGTGTTGTAGCTTGTGCATGGATGAATTTTAACGTCAGGGTTATTCTTTCGTATCTTTTTAACTGCCTACATGCATTTTTTTTGTACGTTTTTTTAATATGTCCAATCAGGTCCAATGAAATCAGACCTTGAGATAAGGATTTAATGATATAAATATACTGATATTGCTGTTAACACAAATAAGTTCCCACATTAACGCAGGCTCAAAGCTCTCTTTAAGCTTTGAGAAATCAAAAGTCAAAAATAAAAAAGGATGATCTCCCAGATGACAAAACTTCAGTTCCAATATCATCTTTCTGCATATTCAACACTGTAGCCTAAAGATATATCTCAAAAATTATGTCATGATTAAGTTAATTATTTGTCACTTGTTTCAAAAAGAGTAAGTCAAGAGTAAGGTGCATTAAACACTTAAATATTTCAAGCTTTTGATGTATTTTCATGATTATGGCTTACAGATAATGATAACCAAATATTAGGATTTTTGAAATGTACCTTTACTCCATTTGATCACAGTTATGTTCAAATGTTTGGGACATGTAAAAAATAAAAATAAAAAACAAAATGAGCTCTGCACCATCACCCCTTGTTGTCTGAATAATTTCAGCTATTATGGATTAACTCCTATATCGTTTCATTATTAGAAAACAAAACATGAGGGTGGCCTCAGAAAAGTACTCAGTTATAACACAAGACACTGGATTTCACTGCACTCATCTCCAGGAAAATTAAGTTTTTCACAATGCATTTCTGTTAATTCTTTACCTATGAAGACAGCTTTTGTGAACTTGCAGTAGTTTTCCAATAGGTAGCAATCCATGCTGTGAAACACGCATACACACTTAAAACTATTCATTTCAGTGCTTTCTATGTATGAAAGGGTTAATTTATGAATCTCAGAATGGGTGAATGCCTCCACTCTGCAATGCAGCAGTGGGCAGTAAGCAGGCGAGGAGTAGATGTATAGTGCCAAGTGTTGGAGAAGACCACTTTATTATCTAAATGGGTATGAAGATGGCACTTAAAGGAATCAGCTGGTCATCAGCTCATTTAGGAGGCACAAATGACTCTGTTCCTGCAGAAGACCAACACTGCTGGCTCTGTTTGAGGTACTTAATTAAACCGCAAGGCACAATAATTGTAGCTTTATTTCTCTCTGTTCTCACCATTTCTCAAGTGGATAACTGTACTAAAACACTGAACGCAAATACTCAGTCCACCCACAAGCTTCTAGTGCAAAAGGTCCTGTTCTCTTAATGTTATGGTAGGAAAAAAATAAGAAATCAGCGTGACGAAAAAGCAGATGTATAAAAACACATTAACGTTAGCAACGATGTGTCTAGTCTCAAACATAACCATCAGTGCCATGAAGAAGAGATGCAGATATAGAATCATCTGTACTGGCAAAGACTCAAATAATGAATTTGACTTCATGCTGAGGAAACAGACATTAAGTATAAATATATAAACTTTAGAGGAAATAAAGGATACAAGGAAAATGTGTGTACATATATGGTTAGGTACAGCCATATATATATATATATATATATATATATAAATGCAAGCTGTTGTAGTGCACATATTAAATTATTTTGTTTCACTGCAGAGAAGCTGACTGCTCTGTATGCAGGTCTTCACTGTGTTCAGAGAGAATCTGGGGAAAGAAACTGTATTTGGTGGCAGGTTTTCGCAAATAGTGCTCTGTAGCACCAAAAGGTAACAGACTGAACAGTGTGTCATGGATGTGTGGGGTCTGCACGATGTGAACTCCTGGATGGAGTGAAGGTGAGCCCCAGTGATCTCTCTGCAGACCTGATTGTTTATTGCATCTTGGACCTGTAATCGTTTAAGCCCTTGATGTCACAGGTTCAAGTCCCGCTTCAACCCACTTCCCTGTCTGACAAAACATTTAAAAATTAAAAATAAAGAAAATATCCTGCCTGAGACAATTGACTAATTTGGTGAAAGTAGCTCAAAAGTTTTCATGGACACTGCAGACGAATGTGGAACATTTAGGAATCTGAAAATTGTACTAAAGTATGAGTCAGACTTCTGGTGGTTCACAATATTCTTTATAACTTGGCCATTTTTCCCCCATGTTGCAACACTAGGAATCAGTGTCTTTGAGCCATTGTCCTAAGAGACATTTACAGGTGGGATTCAAATAGATTCAAATCTTTTAAATCAACTCATTCAGAAATGTAAAAGCCATGACATCATATTATTTAAAGGTACAGTAATCATTGTGTGTAAACTGATGAGTTTAATCAAAGTAATAAAAGGTCTCCAAATCATAGTGGCCTTTAGCCAACATTATGCTAATTCCTAGCTGATCTAACACAGCATATGCAAAACATCTGATTTTAATGTATATCTACTAATGGACTATGTTACAAGACTATGTCTACATTTGTTTTATCCCAATTATAATCTTAATATTTTAGAATAACATTAATACAGCGTGTATAATAGTAATTTATAAACTTATTTTCCTCTGAAGTAGGCCTCAGCTTACTAGTTGTTCCTACCAACTGATATACAAGTGAAGAAAAAATAAATAAATCAGCATTAGTGTGGTGTGACCAGAGTAGCCTGCAGATAGATGCTTGAAAGATTGCTGCATTCACCAGCACCGGAATCCACCAGCTTTACTCAGCATGAGCAGTCGAAATTCTTCATGTGTAGTGATTGTGAGAAAGGGACGCTGTGGGCACAGCACTGCACTGGCCTCTCAGCATGCGTCTCGGAGCAGTGGTGTCTCAGTGGTCTGCTGGTTCACCGTGAGTGAAGCTTCAGCAGGCATTAATAATTCACCAGCCTCTCTTCGCTCCCGGACAAACTTAGTTTTCACCAACAGGGGATTTGAGTAGCAGCTACAGCAGCAGCTTTGATTTAACTCAAAGTCCAGGCTCACTCACTCTCTCTCACACACACATCCACACAAAAACGCATGTTAGCTTGTAATACAGCTTCCTGATATGTTTCGATAAAAGCTCCCCTTCAACAGTAGCCACAGTACTTCTCAGGAAAAAAACAAATTACAAATCTACTTTTTTTTTTTTTTTTTTTTAGGATGCCAAATCCATTACAGCTAGCACACCATAGCTGTTCTAGTTGACGTCTGTGACTACATTTTAATTATCACTGGAAATACTGTTGGCATAACCCTTGACCTCTAAAATAGGTCTGACAAAAGCAGTTTTATTTTCTTTACAAAAGGAAAGTTTAATAAACTGATGTGGTAATGCTATGAAGCATTTTACAGCTGCTGGAATTAAAATCCAGCAATTGCTAAGCTAACTTAGTGACCATTAAAATCATGACATGTATTAACTTTCAACAGCCAACAGTATAGAAGTGCATTATAATTCTCACGGATGACTTGCAAAGTTTGGGCATATTTCATATCCTTCATGTTATTGCACCATATTGAATTGCACTGTGCTGAGTAAAATTCATCTTTCCACTTTGGAGTGAACTGTAATGTGTTTCATTGTTGTTTGCTGCTTATATACTGGATTATAGTGTGTATTTTTTCAAATATGCGCACCGTTCCATCTATACAGCAGAGATGTACAATCAGCTACGATTATGCAAGATAAATATAATTCTTCATGCTGACAGTTTCTCAAAAAATGTTCCTGGCTAGGCGTTTAAATAACGGACAATAAGTTGTAAATCTGGGCATTGGGGGTTGGCTGTATCTCTCAAAAAGTTAAACAAACTTCAGTTTGCAAAGTCTTACCTTGAGTGAAACCAGTTGTTGAGAACAACTTCCTCACATGGCCCTCCAAGATCAGAAAATACAGCTATCTGGAGGAAGGTAGAGAAGCTACATTTATTATTTAAGAACTTCAAATATTAATATTGATCCATATGCCCCCCTTCCCCCCCCAAAAAAAATCCAAAACATCAATGATCGTAAAACCTATGACTGTATTAGGTATTACTAAATGTGGGAGTATGAGTAACAGGTAGCTTTGTGTCAGTGTACAAAAAATTTACGTCTGTGTCAACATTTCTTGACATTGTTATTTCAGTAGACATCAGTTTTTAGAGCTTAAATATTCCCTTCTCACTGTGGGGTGCATTGCTGCAGGATCTGTTGTAAACATCCATCTTACATTCAGAGAAAGGAGGTGTGCTACCATGCCACTCAACACAGACGCTGAAACATATGAAGAAAAAACAGTAAATGCTCAGACTTTTAAATAAAACAGCTATAAAGTTGATATAAAGTCTGGCAGTGTTGCAGTTATGTAGGACTAAAACAATTTAGTAATTAGTTAATCGTCAACTGGAGCATATAGACTCAATAAAAGTTGTTTTCTTAAAGATCTGCACAAAATAAATATATATACATTTAGCAGTTAAAACTTCTTTGTCTGTAAATATGTTTTACCCAAAGCTCCTCAGGTGGCATCGTCTTAGCCTCATCCAGTTCAAATTCAGTGAAGGAACGCTATGTTATTGCATTTCAGGCACTGAAATGTTTATTTTCATATTTAAAAGGTATTTAATTATTTGCATCTTTTAATGCGTCTCTGATGTTGCATATAAAAATCTAAGGTTAAATGAAAAATATGCATAATGTGCCATTTTTTAAATCCGATTCATTGTCAGAACAACCAAATAATCAATTACTAAGCTATCGTTAGTTGCAGCCCTACAGTTGTGTATGAATAGGTTAAAAGCATTCATGGAGTCCCTCAGGTGGAGCCGATGTCAACTAAACTCTATATTTCTAAGGTTAGCTGGTTGCCAACATGTGGGTCAGGCAATTTAGCATCATCAGCACACTAAATTGTGAATTACCTTTTAATTTGCATTTCAGGTAATATACAACAAATGATCAAAACTCGTTCATGTTGTAGCTGTGAGCTTAGCTTAGTTGGTGAATTATGAACATAAATTGTGTCATTTTAACCTAGCTGCACCTAATTTAGAAATAGCTCTCGTTAAGGATGAACTGGCGCAAAACCATCTGCAAGCTTGTTTCAGGTACTTCAGCAATTTAAAGTGCGCAGCACAATTAATTGCAGTTCACATCCTGGCACTGAATTAAGTTAAATCACTAAAGCACACTTAAAATGCCTTGAGTGATTTTCTCAGCTCTCCAGGATAAAACCCCCAAATATACACAAACTCAGACAGGAATGGCAGTGATCAGTATTGAAAGGGCTACATTGTAAACCCGTGTCTAATTTCACAGATGCTGAACAAATTGTCCTGTAACCTAAAGAATGTGTTTGTGTGGGCTGCATAATTTGAGCGACTCCAAGCGCGTATGTGTGTGTTTGTGTCAAAGTTGAGTGTGAATTCATCTCGCATTCCGACAATGAGAGAATGTCAGAGAGGCGTGACGAGAGCACAAGATGCAGAGAGAATGTCTATGTGGTTGCATTTGTACATCTTGACACGACGATTGGGGGTGTGTGGCCGCCTGCACAAGTGTGTGTGGAGGTGTGGGATGAGGCCGATTCAGTTCATGAGTAAAATCTGCACATTAGGCTGCAGTGCAGGAACTTGACTAAGTGTCACTCACACACCCACGAACACACACACACACTTTAAGATTCACCGGCCATCACATATCTGTTTCATCCAAGTTGACAGCATCACTTCTGAACCAATTTCCAGTGAAAGGACACTCACAAACCCACGTCCACTGCCACAGAGGCCATGAATAGTCGACATGTATTTTTTTTCCTCCTTCACCAATTACTTCTAAAGTTCACTGAATGTATGTACATATAAATAATCATGATCGTTCACGTGTAGTGTAGACCTAGAAGGATTTAATAAATGTTAGCCTCTGAAACCCAATTTGCTTCCCAAAAACTGTGCTCAGCAGTTCACTTATGAGGACATTTATATTTATGGCATTCATGAATAGTTTAATACAGCTGCATTTTTCCACTCCAGAGAAAATTAAGAAAGGTCTATAGAGTGATCGTAAACTACTGGAGTTCAAGCAGGAGTTCATCATGGTGCGTGGGACTGCTCAAGTCCCACTACCTCAGCGACTGCATTAATATTTTCCCCATTTCCGGTACAAATTTTCTAACTATTTTTCCAAGTCATAATTTCTTATTTTTCCTGTTTCTGATTTCCAGTCAAGTCAATTTCAGAACCGATGCTGAAATTGACTTAATAAGCACAAGTGTTTGTGTTTACCGTTGTGTTTACTTTGTCATGCTAAACACAAATGTTTACCATGAATAATAGATGCTTTCAGAGCAGTGATGCCTAAAAAAATTGAACCTGCAAAAATAGCATAAGGATTGATTAGTGGATGGATAGACAGACTGATATATTAATGGGTGGAGAGATGAACAAACAGATGGATGCATCAACAGTTACACTTTTATTGAGAGATGGAATAACAAATGGATGCATAGATTGATGAACAGATGGACTGAGATGTAGTTCTGTATGGATGGGTGGGCATATTAAATGGATGGATGGATGTAGTGACAGATTTATATGCTGACAATGTATTGATAGCTCAGACACATGAATGGAGGTACTGACGCAGTGTCTGCAAAAAGACATTCAGTCTGACATTACCAATGCAATTTAATTTGTTCGACAGACTTAAAATGATCAGACATTTTAACCGATTATACAAATCTGCAGCACAAGTTTCAAAACTGTTCTGCCCGAGACACTCCAATGTTTGCCAGCGTGGCAGAAGTAGCCCAAATGTTTTTGTGAACACTGCTGACATATGGACAAATGTACATCAGACTCAGGGGAGCTGAAATACCAGGATGTAATGCCACTTGATGTGCCATTGGCTGCCAAAGCAGCCAACCTCAGAGCAATAATTATTTTCCTTGGCTGGGTCTGATTGGCAGCATCCCCAAGAGAGGAAATAATACCATGAGGAGTCCAACTAGAGTCCTCAAGAGCTGCCGTCCTGTAACTTTTAGATGCATCCCTCCTCTAACACAGATTAATCAAATGACTGAATTACCTCTTCAGCATGCAATCAAGTTTGGCTAAGGACGAGCAACGAGCCTTTTATTTAATGCTGGTTGGCATAAGAGTTGGAGATACTTGCTGCAGACGTAAATTCTGTGGTAGCATCAAGATTATGCATATTGAGGTTGTACTTTGTGTTTGAACTATTAAAATGGGCGCCTAAAAGCATTCTCAAGTATTTGTAGATTTTAACCATTAGTGGGGGCTGTGGGATCCAACCCTGAGGAATACCAGGACCTCACTGCACAGAGATATGGGTAGGAAGACAGTTATACAGATTTACAGACCGTAGACACTGTTGAAACACCAATCATAGTTTCAAATATCTTTCTCGATACAACATAGCTCTTTGTGAGATCAATTTTGAGCATTCGGCTGCTTTTCACATAGCCTTGCTCTTAAATCCATGCTTGTGTTTGTGTTGCTCTACGGCACAGTGAGGCAGCGCCTCATCATGCCTGATGCTGCCCTGCCCTAGGGCGCGGCTCTCTGTGACATAATCTAGGCAGCTCAAATCAGAGACAACCTGGCACTTGTCCAGAAAGCAAAGACAAAAAATAAACTGGTAATGTCTCAATATTTGAAGCCTTCAACACCAGAAGAAAAAAAAAAAGACTATCAAGCAATTTGGGAGCAAATTGTAATTTTACATAGCATTGGAGACAAGATAGGAATGTTTACAATCCAAAAACTGTCCATTAATGCAATCATATTTCTTAATCAATATACTCTGGCATCGGTGAGTACCAGGTGACAGTAAATGACGATGGTTTGGTCCACAATTGATGCCCTCATTAACACGTGTGTGCCCAGCTCAGCGTTTTTCTCTTGCTTTTGGCTCTAGACCTGCAGTGAGCTCAGCGTCTGCTGCCTCATATATGAAAGAAGCCTCATTCTGAGTTTAAAATACAAGGAAACCAATAGAATCTTTAAAAAAAAAAGAGCAGAAAAGAAAATGAAATAGAAAAGATCAATGCAGTACACAGACAGAGGGTTGGATCTGATTGTACCACCAGGTCTTACGGTATTTGTAATGGTTCCCTCTTTTCTTTTTTTACATAAGAGAGTCTGACACTTTAACGTCAAAAAATAACTGCATCAACAACCTTATGTCAATTATTATTAATTGTGTGTGGTAAATTTAATTAAAAAAATTGTCCTTGAATTAATTTGTTCATGTGTTCAGCTCACTTTTCTCCTCAGTGCAAGATGACAACACATTGTGACAGGCTGATATTTCCCAGCCTCTTCCTATACCACCCACACAAACCATCTGCAAAGAGCACAGAGGCATTTCCTGAAAGCTACAGACAGATGACATTTATGGGTTGACAGGGCACTTTTAACACTTTTTCAACTGCGTGTGTTTGTGTGCAAGTACATGTGTTTAGCTGAGCATGTGTGTGCGTGTGCATGGCTGGGCTGCGTTTCTCTCTGGTTAAACGTGACATTTCCTTGGCTGAGAGCTTGTGAGGCCAAAGCTTCATTAAAGGTTATCTGTTAATTACAAGGACAACTTGTGGTCACATTGAGGTTACGTCTCCTGTTCCTTTCACCCATCTTCAGTCACATGGAGGAGTTTTCTTAATGGTTTATGTTGACACAGAGAATAAAAGTAATAGAAAGAAAAAACAAGCATAGCCCTAGTGCAATAGTTTTAGGGGGTCCTGGATGATATGCTAAGTAGGCCTGTCACGATAGTAAATTTTGCTAGACGATAAATTGTCCCAGAACGTATTGCGATAAACGATAATATTGTTGTTTTGAGACCATTTTCAAGTAATATAATAGTACTAATGGCACAATAATGCAAGAACACATTCTCAATAACCTTATAAATTATAATGACATTTAAGACTAGAAGTGGAAGACATTTTAAATATCCAAAAATAAATAAAACAGAAACGACAACTAAAATGAACTATGAAGTCTCTGTAAACAAAATTATCTTTCCAAAAAAGGGATAGTTGAGACCAAAGCACCAGAATAAATACTTCTATCATTCAGTTTTTGGTAAAAAGGGAAAGAAATTAGAAAAACGATTAAACAAGCCAATGAAAATAATAGTTTCTTTTAATTTATCATGTAATTAATTGATTTACTGTTTATTGTGACAGGCCTAATGCTAAGTATTTAATAGTGCACCAATTTTAGACACAAAAAAAGATTCCAGAAAAACCT